AACAAGTCCAACAAACCCAACAAGTCAAACAAAACCAACAAGTCCAACAAACCCAACAAGTCAAACAAAACCAACAAGTCCAACAAGCCAAACAAAACCAACAAACCCAACAAACCCCAACAAGTCAAACAAAACAAAACAAGTCCAACAAGTCAAACAAACACAAACAAGTCAAACGAAACCAACAAACCCAACAAGTCAAACAAAACAAAACAAGTCCAACAAACCCAACAAGTCCAACAAACCCAACAAGTCAAACAAAACCAACAAGTCAAACAAAACCAACAAGTCAAACAAAACCAACAAGTCCAACAAACCCAACAAGTCCAACAAACCCAACAAGTCAAACATAACCAACAAGTCCAACAAACCCAACAAGTCCAACAAACCCAACAAGTCCAACAAACCCAACAAACCCAACAAGTCAAACAAAACCAACAAGTCAAACAAAACCAACAAGTCCAACAAACCCAACAAGTCAAACAAAACCAACAAGTCAAACAAAACCAACAAGTCAAACAAAACAACAAGTCAAACAAAACCAACAAGTCAAACAAAACCAACAAGTCAAACAAAACCAACAAGTCAAACAAAACCAACAAGTCCAACAAGTCAAACAAACCCAACAAGTCCAACAAACCCAACAAGTCAAACAAACCCAACAAGTCCAACAAACCCAACAAGTCAAACAAACCCAACACGTCAAACAAGCCAAACAATCCAACAAGTCCAACAAGTCAAACAAAACCAACAAGTCAAACAAAACCAACAAGACAAACAAAACCAACAAGTCAAACAAAACCAACAAGTCCAACAAACCCAACAAGTCCAACAAGCCAAACAATCCAACAAGTCAAACAAGCAAAACAAACGCAACAAGTCCAACAAACCCAACAAGTCAAACAAATCCAACAAGTCAAACAAAACCAACAAGTCCAACAAACCCAACAAGCCAAACAAATGCAACAAGTCCAACAAGTCAAACAAACCCAACAAGTCAAACAAGCCAAACAATTCAACAAGTCCAACAAGTCAAACAAAACCAACAAGTCAAACAAAACCAACAAAACAAACAAAACCAACAAACCCAACAAGCCAAACAATCCAACAAGTCAAACAAAACCAACAAACCCAACAAGTCCAACAAACCCAACAAGTCAAACAAACCCAACAAGTCAAACAAGCCAAACAATCCAACAAGTCAAACAAAACCAACAAGTCAAACAAAACCAACAAGTCAAACAAAACCAACAAGTCCAACAAACCCAACAAGTCCAACAAGCCAAACAAACTCAACAAGTCCAACAAGTCAAACAAACCCAACAAGTCCAACAAACCCAACAAGTCAAACAAACCCAACAAGTCCAACAAAACCAACAAGTCAAACAAACCCAACACGTCAAACAAGCCAAACAATCCAACAAGTCCAACAAGTCAAACAAAACCAACAAGTCAAACAAAAACCAACAAGTCAAACAAAACCAACAAGTCCAACAAACCCAACAAGTCCAACAAGCCAAACAATCCAACGAGTCAAACAAAACCAACAAGTCCAACAAACCCAACAAGTCCAACAAGCCAAACAATCCAACAAGTCAAACAAGCAAAACAAACGCAACAAGTCCAACAAACCCAACAAGTCAAACAAATCCAACAAGTCAAACAAAACCAACAAGTCCAACAAACCCAACAAGCCAAACAAACGCAACAAGTCCAACAAGTCAAACAAACCCAACAAGTCAAACAAGCCAAACAATCCAACAAGTCCAACAAGTCAAACAAAACCAACAAGTCCAACAAACCCAACAAGTCCAACAAGCCAAACAATCCAACAAGTCAAACAAGCAAAACAAACGCAACAAGTCCAACAAACCCAACAAGTCAAACAAATCCAACAAGTCAAACAAAACCAACAAGTCCAACAAACCCAACAAGCCAAACAAACGCAACAAGTCCAACAAGTCAAACAAACCCAACAAGTCAAACAAGCCAAACAATCCAACAAGTCCAACAAGTCAAACAAAACCAACAAGTCCAACAAACCCAACAAGTCCAACAAGCCAAACAATCCAACAAGTCAAACAAGCAAAACAAACGCAACAAGTCCAACAAACCCAACAAGTCAAACAAATCCAACAAGTCAAACAAAACCAACAAGTCCAACAAACCCAACAAGCCAAACAAACGCAACGAGTCCAACAAGTCAAACAAACCCAACAAGTCAAACAAGCCAAACAATCCAACAAGTCCAACAAGTCAAACAAAACCAACAAGTCAAACAAAACCAACAAGACAAACAAAACCAACAAACCCAACAAGCCAAACAATCCAACAAGTCAAACAAAACCAACAAACCCAACAAGTCCAACAAACCCAACAAGTCAAACAAAACCAACAAGACAAACAAAACCAACAAACCCAACGAGTCCAACATTCCAACAAACGGAACTCGTACTGACGGATTGTGGAAGTTATTAATCTTTCGTGCCCAGTCTACTGTAGCTGTGACCCCTCATGTTTGAGAAACGATAAATTTTCCAACATGGATTTTTGCATTTACCTGTTTGTATTAACATGCACTATTATATTTTACAAAAAGAAAAGGGAATGTAAGTATAATATAAAAGGGAGTAATTAATATGGACATCTTTGGAACTCATGTGAGATGCTGCGTGCAGGAAGAAGGTATGACGATATAAATATATTTTTTTATTGAAACGTGCGTCTTCGTATGAATAATTCATTCGTTTTAGCCGCAATTGTTGTGTTTAATTAAATGCCGTTTTATGATTGCCGGTTAGGTTTTCATTCTGGATTTTAATATTTAGATATAGCGACAATATAAATAGCTAGGGCACTTGCGGATCGAGAGAGATAAAACTACCTGAAAAAATACAAGCAGAACTTCGGTTACTTCGACGTTGGTTCTAGCCACGCCTTTGTATTAAATACAGTATTGTACATTTGTACTGTAGTACGTATTTACATGTAATATAAATACATCGACACCGTAGCAATACTACGTATAATAAAATTAAAATGAAGCACATATAATTTCTATTATTATACACTCACGCGCACTTAACCAATCAGTGATCGTTGAGAGGGTCACGTGCCGATCCAATATTTTACGATATTGGACAGGAACCTATTGGACAGTTGCGAATTGTGGCTTTTTTCATGGTTTTTCAGCCCTTTTCACATGTTTTGTCAATTTCAAACATACGACAAACGATACGGCAGAATAATGAAAAGAATTTGGGACATTACTACAGTTTTTTCTACTAGTTTTGTTTAAAATTATAAAAGCGCGGAAAAACTTTTCTTCGCGAAATTTAATTGTTTGCAACAGCCTAGAAGTTAGTAATATTATTTTTTTTCGTTAAAATTAGGTCAAATTTCCTTTAAACATACATGGAAATGAATTTATTTATGCACACATATTTGTAAAAACAGGTTTATTAACTTCTTTTTTAGTTATTTAAGCAAATTCGCCGCCGATATATGTAGTATTAATGTTGTCGCTGTATTAGTCTCGCTGTATTTACTTTATCGCTTATTGACAATTTTAGTTATAGAATTGTTTTGTTCGATATAATAAAACTCCTATTGGATTCATCTTCGCCCAATATGGCAAAATATTAAGTCTCGACTTCAATATTAGGCTCGACCTTCGGTCTCGCCCAATATTGAAGTCTCGACTTAATATTTTGCCATATTGGGCTCAGAAGAATCCAATAAGATATATTATCATCCAATATTCCAATATGAATATAAACAAGTACAACTATTTGATTTAACTATATGTATAACAAATATGAACAAAACAGTATAAATATTTGATATTATTAACCCATCAAACCATGTTAGTTCATTTTACTCTGCCTTTCACTCGTCAGGAATAAAGTGTTGGCTTTATATTTCAACACAAATGTTAGACAGGCACAGCAATGCACTTAGCAGCTTATTGGGTTAATATTATGATAAAATATTGAATAATACATGTATACTTATCACAAATCAAACTCAGTAGTTCATTTATAATGTTTCTAAAACAAGCAATGTTTAATAATGTTTTTGTGACCTTATTTTATTCCTCTTCCCTTCCACTTTCTCACGTTCAGAGAGTGCATCGATCAACGCATCTGCTGAGCCTTTTCTCTTTCTTGTTTTACTCAATGTTGGTTGAGCACTGTTTGTGGATAATTCAGAGGGCAAAACTTCTGGTTGAGCAGTGTTTGTAGGCATTTCAGGAGACGCAAGTACTGGTTGAGCACTGTTTGTTGGTAATTCAGATGATATGACTAATGGTTGAGCACTATTTGTCAATAATTCAGGGGACGCGAGTACTGATTGAGCACTGTTGGTGGATAATTCAACAGATGATGCAACTACTGATTGAGCACTGTTTATGGATAATTTAGGGGACACACGATTACTGGTCGAGCACTGTTTGTGAGCAGTTCAGATGGTGTAACTACTGGTTGAGCACTGTTGGTAGGCAATTCAGGGGACTCAACTACTGTTTGAGCACTGTTTGTTGATAACTCAGAGGATGCAACTTCTGGTTGAGCAGTGTTGGTAGGCAATTCAGGGGACGCAAGTACTGGTCGAGCACTGCTGGTGGATAATTCAACAGAGGATACAACTACTGATTGAGCACTGTTTATGGATAAATTAGGGGACACGATTACTGGTCGAGCACTGTTTGTGAGCAGTTCAGATGATGTAACTACTGGTTGAGCAGTGTTTGTCGATAATTCAGAGGACGCAAGTACTGGTCGAGCACTGTTTGATGATAAATCAGAGGACACAAGTACTGATTGAGTGCTGCTGGTGGATAGTCCAGGGGATGCAAGTACTGGTTGAACAATGTTTGTGGATAATTCAGACGTTGTGACTAACGGTTGAGTGCTGCTGGTGGATAATTGAAAGGGTGAGGTGAGTGTCGTTTGAACCTTTGTCATCACCGTTTCATTCAATATCAACTCATCTAAAAGACAAATATACATTCATTATATATTATATTATTATATATGTATGTGTGTGTGTGTGTGTGTGTGTGTGTGTGTGTGTGTGTGTGTATATATATATATATATATGTAAATGTGCTCCATTCTGACATCCATGGTAGGTACGCTTAAACACTTAAAAGTATGTATTATTTAGATTATTATCTTACATTGAGTGCCTTTTTCAGCAAAAGATGTGCTATTTCCACCTAAAAATTAGTAAACAGTAATAAAAGTGGAATTAGATGAATATACATTTTTAAAGAAGGTTGAAGGAAACATGTTATTTACATTGAACACTTTTATGACAACATGTCTTTTGGTTGCCTTCAGCTCTTGCATCTCCTCCTGCTAACAAAAGTAACATAATTTATTTACATTTTAGTATGGTGCTGCAGGTTTATTGATGCATTGCTGATGAGGTAAGTTTTTTTTAAACTTTTTTGTTATATGATTTAGTGAACTCCAACCAACATGTTCAGTAAAAAAATGGTAAATTATGCAAGCGGGCATATACGTCAAATTGCTTTGGTTACTGAAACACATATTACCTGCAGTTTCAAAAATATTAAGGCTTCCTTCTGAAAACAGACTTCTTTTAATTAGCACACAACTTTTAGGTGCCATGATCTGTTTGCTTGGTGACCAGAACCTTTGATCAGAGTGTTTACCTGAAAACCAATTACAGAATTAAATTAATTCAATGGTGTACCTTATGACATTCAATGGTGTATTTATTGACATGTTGCATATACATCATTTAACCCATTGAGTAGCAGAAATCTCCCCCTGACAAGTAAGATTGTATGGCATTATAAAATAATAAATTAAGGCACATCTGGGTGTATTGTTACTTAAACTGTCTTAAAGGTTAATTATAAATGTACCACATGATGTGACTGATGTCTACTGCATGCGCATTGCACCCATTCTATTGTTGACCGGTCAATAAATGTTTCATTGTTGACCAGTAATGCCTCTTCACCAAAGTATGCAGTGAACATGACGTTTTGTGGACCGACATATGATACAGTTTTCACCAATCGGCAAACAGAAAAATTGAACTTTGACACTAACTATATAACAATGATATTTATATTCTACCTGATTGATTCACAGAAAGTATCCGCTTGGTGTTTTTTATATTTAAAATTGGTTTGTTGTTGTCCTCTTGGAACTTTGCAATTTTTCGCAGTCTAACAGCAATTGCTGGTTCATCCACTGTTGATTCAAACTTTGCATTCTTGTTGGAGGGAAGAAATGTTTGGACCTATCAAAATATAATATTTGGACCTATCAAAATATACAGTTGTTTTATGTGGAATTACTACTTATATAGCCCTTATATAGCCCTATAATACGCGTTAATAAATATGACACAAACAAAAAATTTTTACAGTAAAGTAAGAATGCGGAGGTGGTGAAAATCCAGTCTCACTGCAGATTGCACAGTCAAAAAACATAATTGTGTTAAAAACTTTTTTAAAGAGACAGTATTTGGGTTTTTAGGGTATTTTTGTTTCTGGGTACATGCGCTTGTTAAAATATTTTGTGTTTATATTATCGGATTTTGGAACAAAAATATACATTTTGAATCAGATTGAAATTTATTTTATCAAAGGATTGTTTGGATCGGATCGGAATTCTTTATCAAAGCTTGGATCGGATTTGGATTAGCAATTCCGGATATGTCCGATCAGATTTAAAATGTTTAAAACATTAGGCAATTGTCAGATTATAAACGTTCAATCCGACCCGATGCACACCTCTAGTTATATGCTTGGTGGTCATTTCGAACACCAAGTATGTGATAATCCAATTTAATTTTTTCAGCCTTGATCTGTTGATTTTATTTGTTTAAACATGTTACACTGTAGATGTGCATACCGTTTTACCATCTGAAGCATTTACCATTGACACAAGCGATTCTTCAATCGTACTAACAATGTCATCTTCACAAGTTACCATTGGCTGATAGTTTGGTACAACTGCAGTTCCCAACTGAGTCTTTCGCATCAAGCAGTATGGTGCTATTATCTCGGAAAAATGAGCAATTAGGTCTTTATCATCCACTGCTGTTGTTAATTGTGCCATCTGTGAAAAGATAAAGCTGGCATTCTAGATGCTTTCATAATTGTGTACTATACTGTATTAGTATTTTTGCACAAGTGAACATAACAAATCATACACGTTGATTGGACAAATTTGACGTAATAACATAGGCACTAGGCAGCCCAATGTTATGGTTGTCGCACATGCGAGGCATTGTATAGTTGTATTATTTCCTAATAATAATGGAAATAATACAATACAATGCCTCGCCTGCGCACAGGCAGGCAACCATAACATTTGGCTGCCTATGGTAATAAGCTGTTTTATTATATATCAATATTCAAAGTCGCAATTTTCTAGTGTTTTATTGGTTGAGAGCATATCACGTGAGAGTGACGAAATTAGGCTGTCTCCCTCGCAACAGCGCGAGAGGGAGATAATACGTTATCGACCGGCGAATAACAAAAAAAATCATGTGCGCCATAATGTGAAGATGCGACTTTTGGACATGCGTAGTACGTAATTAAAACTTTCGATTTAAGTAACTGCAGTGTAGCCAGTGTTTAATAAAATATTTCATGTATTTACGTTCATTTGTTCTTTAATTTCTTGTTTCTTTGACTATTGATATATAATAAAACACTTATTTACTGAGACCTCGGGAAAGCAGTGTGTTTTGTGGACCCTCGACCGTCGATGTTTCCCTCGGCTTTGCCTCAGGAAACATGGATGGTCTCGGGTCCACAAAACACACTGTTTCCCTCGGTCTCTGTAAATAAGTGATAAATATTCACCTACAGATGAATAGTCTAATTAAAACAATTAATAAAATGTACTGTGCTGTATGGCCAAACTGTACTGTATGGTTAAATGTACTGTACTGTATGGCCATATTACTAACAATAGAAATTAAATACCTTTGGGCCTTTGAGATATTATAGTAATTTAGATTTTATTTGTGTAATTTTCAGGATGTTTAAAGAAATGCATGAGCACTGTATATTTCATATTACAGTACGAACTTAAGATGGTGACACCTGAATATTACAATCCAAATTATGAAAAACTGTGTGGAAGTAAATTCAATCATTCACCAACTAATGGTAAGGTTATCTGTTATTTCCACCATAAATATAATTAATATACAATGCTGATGCAGTCTCTGTTGTGATTAGCAAAGAATCTACAGGCAGTTTTCAATGTCTTATGGTGCCACCTACAAAGACATTGAAAATTGTTTGTGGGTGACATTAATTTTAATGTGACAACTGACAATATTTCTTATTGTATGATAAGACAATTATTGAATTTGGCTTTTGCATTGATATCAAGAATTATACAGACCTCGGTCAAGCTTATCTGCCTCAGCCTTTGGAAGACAACATTGACCTTGTCTGGATAATTCATCTAAGAATTGATATGGTTTTTCAGGGTGGGAATTCAGCATGCTTGAACTATACAATTTGAGTAAAACATTAAATTACTTTTCTAGCAACAAGGAGTCCAGCAGTCCACATTTTCGACATACGTGATCCATCACCCTTTTCTCCAAATGCTGCTCGAACAATTTCACCACATTCTTTTCGGAAGTTTGTACCATCCTGCGTGCTTATCCATTGCCCAATGTAAATAATTTCCCCAATGACACTTGATACCCCTGGAAGTAGTTTGCTGAAATTGTAATCCCAACATTCGTCCACACTCCTTGTGTTTCTTCCCTGAACTGGTATCAGAAGGACACGATCCAGTAAACTAGAATGATTAAAAAAAATGAAGATATTTCAGCAGCAAGGTCACTATAACTAACAAGCTAGTGAATGGTAAAAATAAAACCATGAGCAGTAACAATGCACCAAGTAACTCTTACCGAGCTCTTTAATTCAGGCTTCAACAGCCAATCTACAACATGCTCGTTGGCAGTAAATATGGGGCAACACTGGGGCGTCCAATTTCCTGCACATGATGTCTCTGTACCAGCATCGAAAAAGCGCTTAGCTTGCTCCCCAAGGTCTTTTGGATCTGTTGGATCATCGGCAATGAATCCCAATGTTGTACATGCAGCAACTCTATTACAAACCTGTAAAATACCGTAGCATATATCAGACCTGATGATGTCGGATGCAAAAAAGTGACTCAGTCTTAACTGTTTTGTTACTGATTAGCGAAAGGGAACCAAAAAAAGTGGACACAAGGGCAATCTGCTATATGCCTGCTCTGTTGTTGATATACAGTATACAAAACCAATGTATATGCTGTATATAGTACAGTATACAGTACAGTATATGTGTTATGGTAACAAATACCTTGTCAGTAAATGAAGATAAAAAATGCTTGGGCCAACCTCCCGTTGCTGATAATGCAACTTTGGAGGCAGTCGTCTTGCCAGAACGTGGGTTACCAACTCCAACCACAATTGGACATGCTCCAATCGACTTTTGCCACTGCCACAATGCATAAAAACGGGAAAATAATGTGTAAGTACAGTTTGTTACATAAGATTTTTTCAAGAGCTAATATTATATGTGATCCTACTTAAATGCTTTGATCCAATATCGCGTTATCGTTTTTATAAAAGATATTGCAGATTAATTGCAGATGCTTGTTTCATACTTTCATTTTATATTTTTTGTGCATGCCAATTATTCAGGCATTATTTATATCAGTGTTATAAATGTTAGGAAATGGAAGTACTGAAAAATATTGCTTCAAACGTTTTTAAATGTTTCATGCTTATTTCACTACCAAGAAATTGCCTTTTCAAGCTGTTATTTTTTGTGGAAAATTGCAATTATTGTTTTCATATAAATTTGATCAGCCATGTTCCTCGATTTTTTTACTCATTTTTATAGCGTGCGCCAAATTCAAACATTTGTATCTTATGTACATGTAATAATTTACATGACATTTTTAGGACTGTACACCAAGGTCTATAAGTTTGCCTTTCCTCCATACTTATCTAATAATGAAATCAAACAGCGCAGGTTCTTCCGGGGACACCTGGTAGGGTGCCCGAAAATCAGTGGTATAAATTAACTTCTGAACATTAATTACTAAAATCCATTTAAAGTATTACCAGTACCGTACTCATTCCCTGACTGCATGATAAATATGATTGCACGTCACGATTCACGAATCAGATTGCATGTAAATAATGCAGTGGGGGAATGAGTAATAGTAAATACTTTCAATGTCTTTTTTTCAACAGAAATTAATTGATGAATACCTGTTATCGATCCATAAATTTTATTTTTTGGGACTACCCAGTATGGAACTGTTGCATTGTATGTGATTCAAATTCAGGCACAATTTTGTCTAATTGTAAAACTGAAACTGTTCTCTTATATACCTCTTGATAGTTGGCCATGATGCAAGCCATTGACATCAAGTAAAATGTTGAGAGAAAATTTTGGTTGCTGCTGTTTTGTTGAATTGTGGTAGTTTCTATTTCACCACTAACTTCGATCCCGACATGTTCCAAATAATGGGTCATCTCATCATTCTCTTTGCAAGCTTCATGGAGAGTCCCTTTCAGGAAATGACACATTGTGTCGAATCCTTGGTTGGACAGTGGCAGTACAACATCCGCTTGATATTCTTCCCTGGCAATATCAACACCATTGCCTTCAGTCAGGTGACTTAGCCATACCAAACCATGTTGTTTAATGTTGTTAACCAAGTTCCCGTGTTGATCAATGGCAATCTCTTTGTTTAACACCCATATGGGTTGCCCATCATTTCCAACATTTTTCCCCACTATACTAACTGCTTTCAATATTAGGTCATCTATGTCTTCTTCCAATTTACATAGCAGCCCATCCATTGTGGAGGATGGTAAGTGGATGACATTTGTCATCCACGTACTGCAACCATAATTTAGTGCATCATTCAGATTTTGGCGGTCTTTAGTTTTTTTTGCTTTCGCTGGATAGTAAAACTCCCTATGAAATTTCACAAAACTAATATTATTTAATATTACTCAAAACCCCTGGTATTACTATTTATTAATTTACATAATAGCATATAGTTCCCTGGGTTTCTTTTGTTTCAACAGGGTCGATTACTAATTAGTTCTAATCGCCCGTTGGCAAGGGTCACACTCTTTGTCTCCCTGCTGACTACGCGCAAGCAACAGCAACAGTTAGCTCAGGGCCGTCAATATAGTCTGTCATCCAATCCCTGAGTTGTTGCATCATTTAAATTATGCATGCATTGCAGTCTCCGATTTTAACTGATATATTTAGCGTTTTTGTTGATAGATTGCGCATGCGTAACCGATTAAAGCGTAAAAAGTGCGCATGTGCAACAAGCTTTTACATCCCACAAGCAAAGAAGCAAATGTTTTAGCTTAAATTCGCCAATTGCAAGTAGGGCATGTTTGTCCATTTTTAAATGAGAGCGCAACTATGCTATTACAAACTAATAGCATGGCTTTTCGGGAGATTAGTGATTAAATGACCCCTTACCCTCGGCAGGTTTGCTGAATTCCCTCAGGCTTCGCCCTTGGGGGGATTCTGCAAACCTTCCTCAAGTAACGGGGCCTTTTAATAACTAATCTCACTGTCAGACATATTTTCTTTTATAAGAAATTATAGTCTTGAGACAAATTTTAATCTGACAAGCCTTATTTGTTGAAGTATTAAAGTATGAAAGTCAAGGATGGGTTGAAAAGTGGGTAATGCCAAACAATGGTACTTTTGCTTTTGTCTCATGCAGCATTGTAATTGCATACAATATAACAATTAGAAAAGACCACTGACACCTTTTTCTTCCAACCAATTTAAAATTGTGGTACTAAATTCTTAGTATAATAGTATTTATTAATACTTGTTTTTTTTTTCTCCAAGGTTAAATGCATATTGCAATTTATATTTCCTGGACACAAAATTTGTAAGTTTTATTATCTTTATTTCTGTAATTAGCCTTTCTCGCGATTAAAAATATCCGCAATATTTGGGTGGCATCTAATTCTTGTTGAGAGGCAATTTTTTTCAATTAATGTCACATATTTGCAATGAAAAGTGTTCAAAACCTAAAATCTTTTTGGCGTTCCTCTCAAAATTACTTTGTTTTTAGCTTCATTTTCTAGTTTATAGAGTTAGCTACGTACCTTTTTAAATGCATCTGCTGGTTGAGAAACATAAAATAATAGTTAAAAATTGTCAATTAAAATACAAATATCAATGATGCTTTAAAATTGATGCCATATTTACAGCCATATAAGCAAAACTTGCTGAACTTGAGATATCATTTTCTCTTTGGCGTATCATCTAAAATCTTTTCATTTTGGCATTATTTTACAGATAAAGCACTAAACATACTTTTTAAGTTTGTTTGCCGATTGAGAAATGTGTCGAAAAATAAAAAATTTGAATGTATAACCTCAAGCGATATATTATACGCATTAGTTTTGAGCGTGTGTTACGTGACATACAAAAAACTCCTCTTAACCAATGTAGACAATTAAAACACTATTTACAAAAAATTGTCCAAAGTCTCTGTTATGTGAACTTATCTCACAGACCTCGGTTGAAAAGCCACCAGGGCCACCCACACAGGGCAATTTGCCCCGGACCCCCAGTTAAAGGGGGCCCCAAAATTTGCAAAAGGGGGGGGCAAAGGGGGTATTAGTAATGGTATGAGAGAAATCTTTTAGACCTTAATTTTACTGTTATTGGTAAAAAAATGTGTTTTTAGCCGTGATTTTGTGATTTTATAGGTACTCTATTTGTCCTGAAAACGTTTTTTGAATCTTTTGGGGAAATTTTTTTTTTAACCCCTTTTTTTGAATATGTCTGGGAACTTACTTCCCCCTCACTCGCCAACATTTTTTGGAAAAATAGGGGCCCCGAATTAAAAATGTGCCTTGGGCCGGCCCCTGGATTTCTCTGTGCGGCCCTCAGAAAGCCACTTTAAAATTACATTAATTTTGCTTCACAAAGTTTTTAATTATATTATAGTTGCATTAAACAATACTATTTATGAATAGTCAAGTAAACAGACATATTATACACTTGCATTCTCTATTCAGTCTATATATGCCCATAAGTGCAAAAAATAAGCCACATGCATAGACTGCAAGGTGACCTACAGGGTGGCCCAGACGTGGGTAGAGTCATACTATTAGTGTCATGATATACAGTAGTAAATATATAATTATAGAATATACTATACAGTAAAATGTATAATGGATTTTATATTTTAAAATCCTAATTTGATTGTATGTGATCGCCTTTCATTTCTCATGGGCGACTTACAGTGACACTCTATGCCTGCAACTGTCATCATAAGTGATAGAAATGGAAGCAATGGCTAACAATCTCGACATGAACACTTCAACTCTAAAAATGTCCCTTTTAATTAAATTGCTTTGTTATTGGAAAAAAAATTGTAAGTGTATATAATAAACACCCATCTTCAAACATATAATGCCATTTTGACATTACATGTCCTATAATTTTTAGAATGGATTTTTAACAAAATGTTTGAAACCCAAAGTCTATTGAACTTTGAAAGTCTGATAATTACTACAGCGCCTGCTTCATTCACCGTTTGGATTGTCAGGGGGTCATGGGGGGATGCAAATACCAAACACATATTTCTCGCACCAGCCTGCCAATCAATGCTGTGATAGCGACTGTTTACAATTATTTGAAATTTGAAATATCAAATATTACAAATATCAAAACTCTTTGAGTTTCAATCATATAATATAATATGATCAAAAGATTTTTGCAAATTACAATATCATATTTCAAATATTGCGAACAGTTGCTTGGCTGGCTGTTGCCGGAAATAGGTGTTTTGGTAAATGGTAAAGGAGGCTAAGTTTAAAAAATATAGGACATGTAATGTTAAAAAACCATGATCAGCTGACAATTTAAAAATTAAAGCAAAAAAAGACGCAGGTTGAGACTGTAAATTTTCCACTTTAGACAGAATGAATACATCTTGCCTTTAAATAATATATTGTGTTCTCGAGATGTCTTGTCTTTTCGGAATTTTTTTTTTACTTTATTTAATGTCAAAATGGCCTTATATGTTTGAAAATGGGTGTTTACTAGCAAATTTTTTCCAATAACAAAGCAATATTTTTTCAATTGAAGTGTTTGTGTTGCCAGTTTCAGAACGGGAATCATTAATATCCTTTGCTATTATTTCTATCACCTATGATGACAGCTGCAGGCATAGAGTGTTAGTCTTCCAGAAATGAAAGACAATCACATACAATCAAATTAGGCAATTAAATATAATTTTAAAATATAAAATTCATTACAAAGTTTGCTGTATATTCTATTCTATAATTATATATTTACTATATAATGACACTAATACAACTCTACACAAATCTGGGCCGCTGTGTCCTACCCTTGGATTTTAGCTTCCATGGCTGGATGGTCAGAGAAAAAGGCCCTGGCTCCTACTGGTCTGTTTTTAAACCCTACGAACATTGTTTATATATCCAAGTACAGATTGTGATGTAAATCATGTGCTCGATTTTTATAAAGCAAACCCTGAAGAGGTTCAGTTGTGAATTGAATCACATGTTTAATATGTTTAAACGTAAATACAGTATGACAGGCCAATGTTGCTTAATTTCCTCAATATTAGTAATATAGAAAGTTCTGCCTGTGCATTATGTACTATAAAACACCCCAAAATTCAGGACGTAATGTGACCAGCTGAAGCCAAGGCCTTTTTTGCTGACCATCCAACTACAACATTGGAATTAATATTAGGGCCTACTCTCCCACATTGTCATATACTGCATTCTCTCTATTAAAAGCTTTCTCTCAAACCTCCCCTAATCGCTTAAGCCTCTTTACATCTTTTAATTAAATTTATTGATTTCATTTATACATTTTTAAGACGCCCTCAAATGTACCTAAATAGATTGGGGCATCATAGAGAGATTATATTTGGCATGTCAATAATATTGGACGCCCAAAGAATATTTTTCACGATATTCCGCCCCGACGGATGAATTGCGAAGTATTTTTGCACGCACAACATATAATTTTGGCTATCTATACTAAATTTCACTTTGCGTATAGCCATGTAAGATATACAAATTTATACAACCATGCTACAGTACAAATAATATATTCTCTATATTTACTAATTCATAATTAGTAGTCCAACACAAAAACTTTTGATTAGGCCTATATTAAAATTAGGAATTTGTACCTTTCGCTACCATTCTTGTGTGTGACGACTCCAATATAACCAGATAGGTCACCAGCAATTACAGGATTCTCATATCTTATTGTACAGTTCGATCTCTGCAAAAACTGACCATTCGCTTTTTGTGTGCAGTATACACCCTCTTGAATGGTTACTTGATCTATACCGAACATTTTGACCTGTGCTATACTGCCCGGAGCGTGTCACGCTTACTGGCTGAATTAGGAAATAGGTGTGGGTTAAATAGGTTGATCAAAAACACAAATTTTATGCAATCTGATTGGTTTTTAAAAATCATATGACGCTGTCACACAGATGACGTAAATATGGGGTGGATGAGTCATCGGTTTAAATTATATACCTATGTTTAGGTATGGCCGATATACAGCAGTTTATGGGGAAGATATCATTAACGTGACACAAATACGAAAATAGACCACCACGACCATGACTCATACGCTGGAAATAAAAATGACAAACAAACGTTTCATGTGAAATAAGTTTCAAGTAAACAATCTAGTCATTGATATTGACAGTATACATAAATTTTATAATATTAATGTAGATTAATAATAATTCTATTAAATATCAAACAAAGTTACATAAATATTTCAACACACTGTACATGGTTTTGAACACGTGTGACAGTGTTGAACATATATGTTGAACGTTTGCAATCCTGTACATTTTGCTCAGTAATTAGCATTTTTAACGCTTGATTTCTCCTCTACTGTGCGAATGTAAATATGAGTAAGACACCTAAATATTTATTGGTTTATCGGTCATTTTAGTACTTATAATATTGCAATTTTCAAACTAGAATTTCCTTATAATGAAAGCAATAGACCTTTTTCATGACTTCAGGCGCGGATAAATGCGATGCAGCACCGTACAATTTTTACAGGAAAAGAGGAGCCGTAAATATGGGGTGGATGAGTCATCGACCTAAATTCTGTACATATATTTAGGTATGGCCTACATACAGTAGTTTATGTGAAAAATATCATTGTGACACAAAGACGAAAATAGATCCGACGACCATTACTCATAGTCATATACGCTCTAAATAAAAATGACAAACAAACTTTTCGTGTGAAATTAGTTCCAAGTAAACAATTTATATAGTCATTCATATTCACAGTATACATAAATTTTATAATATTAATGTAGATTAATAATAATTCTATCAAATATCAAACAAAGTTACATAAATATTTCAACGCACAGTACATGGTTTTGAACACGTATAACCTATAAGGAGACTTTCGTATGACCTATAAGGAGACTTTCGTATAAGTTTTAGAGTTTAGACCATGTTGAACATATATGTTGAACGTTTGCAATTCTGTACAGTTGCTCAGTAATTAGCATACTCAGTAATTAGCATATTTAACGCTTGATTCCTCATTCTATACTGTGCGGGAAATTTTACACTTTACCGTACCGGAGTAATCACTGAATACATACGCCATCAAAACACTCCAATAAAAGCAGAAGCCTTTATTTATTTCGCTCAATACAGTGTTCTTAATAGAAAATTTAGTGCAGTTTGCATTATATTCATAAGAAAAACCACACCCGTTGTCCACATAAAGTTGTCTCAAGCCTTTTTCAAATAAGATAAATGTGATCATATTAACGTTTTTTGCTCGCATAATTTCGCAGAATTTCGTAAAATTGCAAAAATAATTCATCATACCAAGAAAAGTCATATGAAATAAATTTAGGGTGACAGATGTAATTTTTTGAGTTAAACTACTTTAACGCATCAATATACGCATATGAATCACATTGAAATGAAATTGTTGCGATAGTAATGGCAGTGGAGTTTCATGTTAGGACCAACTGTATCGAACTCATGACGACCCGCACGCCTATAAATTGAATTATCTTGAAGGTGTTAGTTACCACAGCATTATTAGTCGAGGTGGTAAGAGTGGTGACATGTATAATAAATTTATAGTGAAATAATTTATGCGTGCATGAAATTTAACCCCATAGATATGATGTAGCAAATAACTAACTGAGCTAACATACAAACCAGGTTGTCATCACCAATTCATAATAATGTTAGCACACAATGCCGCGCAAAGTTCAAATTGCGCCAAAAGCTGGTCTGAAGAAGAGTGCATTCTGCTTGACAATCGTGTGTATGGATTCAGGATGGAGATCAAGATCAAACAAACTGGCAATATGTTAAAGAATAAAGATTAAAGATTGATGAGAAGTATTTTCAATCAGTAAGGTTATAGGTAATAGTCAAAAGGCTATATAGCCTATAGGAATTGCAGCACGCAATCAGTTATTATTTCTTTAGTATACAGTATGCTAGATACCACGGCTTTCAAGCAGGGCTATCACAACCGCGAGTTGATTGTAGTATATTCGTTATTTAATATACTCATTTCTATATTATGATACAAGGTAGCACAAGACAAATAATATTTATTTACATATATATACCGGGTGGCGCAAAAAAAGTTCAGGCGTTTGATCTACCATAGCGAAAAAACTATAAGAGCTATACGTCTCTCAAATAAATGTAGCTGTATTCATAAAAGGGTAACTTAAATTTTGATAGGTTATACATGAGATATCACGAAATATTGACTGAGATATCAGCCTTTAAATTAAACTTGCGTATAAGCATTTTCAAAAGAATCGAAAATTAGTCTAAAATGGCCCATTGAACTAAATTTGATATCATTAGACATTACGCTGGGCATCGCCTGATTATTTCCCGGGCGAGCTAGTGATGAGTAAACGCGGAGATGATCCGTACCCCTGGCTTTCAGATTTGACAATATCCAATTTTTTTGTGGCTAGTACCTATAGAGTATATAGGTGAAATATCAAATTTGGAGCATGCCACATCGATAGCGCTAGGTTTTGGAATAATATCTAGAATACTTTTAGTGAGAACTCTTGTGCCAGAAAGATGTCCCATCTTTTGCTGACAGGTTATGAAGATGTCCCACCTTTTCTTAACCAGTGGAAGCTTGAAAGGAGTCTTATATTATTCTTTACATCAGGCTAAGTTAAGGCGATGCAGCTTGCGCTATAGGTTTTGGAATAATATCTAGCCAGAATACTTTTAGTGAAAACTCTTGTGTCAGAAAGATGTCCCATCTTTTGCTGACAGGTTATGAAGATGTCCCATCTTTCCTTAACCAGTGGAAGCTTAAAAGGAGTCTTATATTATTCTTTACATCGGGCTAAGTTAGATTAACGAGGTGCAGCTTGCGCTGTAGGTTTTGGAATAATATCTAGAATACTTTTAGTGAAAACTCTCGTGTCAGAAAGATGTTCCATCTTTTGCTGACAGGTTATGAAGATGTCCCATCTTTTCTTAACCAGTGGAAGCTTAAAAGGAGTCTTATATTATTCTTTACATCAGGCTAAGTTAGAGTAAGGCGATGCAGCTTGCGCTATAGGTTTTGGAATAATACCTAGAATACTTTCAGTGAAAACTCTTGTGTCAGAAAGATGTCCCATCTTTTGCTGACAGGTTATGAAGATGTCCCATCTTTCCTTAACCAGTGGAAGCTTAAAAGGAGTCTTATATTATTCTTTACATCAGGCTAAGTTAGAGTAAGGCGATGCAGCTTGCGCTATAGGTTTTGGAATAATATCCTAGAATACTTTTAGTGAAAACTCTTGTGTCAGAAAGATGTCCCATCTTTTGGTGACAGGTTATGAAGATGTCCCATCTTTCCTTAACCAGTGGAAGCTTAAAAGGAGTCTTATATTATTCTTTACATCAAGCTAAGTTAGAGTAAGGCGATGCAGCTTGTGCTATAGGTTTTGGAATAATATCTAGAATACTTTTAGTGAAAACTCTTGTGTCAGAAAGATGTCTCATCTTTTGCTGACAGGTTATGAAGATGTCCCATCTTTTCTTAACCAGTGGAAGCTTAAAAGGAGTCTTATATTATTCTTTACCTCACAACGCAGGCGCGGGCTAGATTCCGTAGATTAGCTAAGACAATGGTGTCAATGCAGCTATTGTTTTTGGAATAATATATACATTACATATATACGTTGGTGAAAACGTTTGTACCAGATTCATGTGCGCACTAGGGCTTATAGGGAAAGGCGGTATAATTATATAACTTTATAAGTCAGTTTCTTTATTATTTAGCCATAGAAAACTTACGCCTTTGAAGCCGGACTTTTTATACTGCCAAGATCTAAGACGGCAAATATGTTCCGAGGTCTTGACATGGAATTATCGTGCTATTCTCTAAGATACCAAGAACGTTTTCTTTTACAACACACAAGTCTTAATATTACATATTATACGCAGCCTTATTACACATTGTGCGCTATATAGTATAGCCTGGCCCTAGGTGACTTGTCAACAGTCAGCATTGTGACATATTTGTACACTTTTATTTTAATGCATAACAGAAAATTAACTTATTACTTGCTTGGTTTCACACTGCGTTTAAGCAACTGAACCTGGATTGATGACATCTTATAGCGGTAATTAATAATGCGATCAGCGTTGCTAGCTTCCTGAAGTTGCAAACTCAGTTTGCAGATCCCGCTGTTTTTCAAAACGTGCGGGTCGTCATGGCTTAAGTTTAAAGTGCTTATATCATGGTTTTGGAGTTTGCATATCTCGAAAGTTTAGGGTATTTTAAGACACTTTCCAATATATTTTGTAATTGAAAAATTTCATCTTGATGGATTTATTAGCTCCTAAAGTTACCGGACATGACGTCAAAAGGAGAGTTTTGTTGCAATGATACAAAGGAAAACTGATTTGCAATTCTCCTTTTGACGTCATGTCCGGTAACTTTAAGAGCTAATAAATCCATCAAGATGAAAGTTTTCAATAAAAAACTATTTATATTGCAAATTGTCTTAAAATACCCTAAACGTTCGAGATATGCAAACTCCAAAACCATGATATAGACACTTTAAATCATGCACCTACAGGTCTAGTTTTGTTCGACATCACCGTGTATTTTAGGAAGATTCGGATCCCTGTTCGCTTTATAACAGTTACTAGTATACGCGTTTCGCCTGATCACCATTCGATGGTAGTAGAAAAGTTGACGCCTCTTTGGCATAGCGCACATAATTTTCTTAAATTTAGCTGCCCAGACGAATGTTTGCTCCGCTACAGGTGTGTTCAAACCAGGCATTTTTTCCTTTAGCAGGTCGGATGAATATTTGGTCTTGCATTCTGGTCGTTTGTGGTTCTTCATATGAAGTCGATCGATAACTTTGTTGATTTTCAACCAAATATTATCGTACGGTTGTGGTAATGGTAGAGGCTTCCTAGCGGCTCTCAGACGATCAAGGTTGCACATATTGTCATATGCAAGGAAGAAATCTTCCCATTCATCCTCGGGAGTCGCCTGCAACCTCTGCATTAGAAATTGCAATGTCAATAGGAACACTTGACCTGGACCTTCAGACCTACGGAGAAACGAACGCGTACGTATATTATATAGGCCCTATATATATAGTTAAATTTGTATATGTATGGCGGAATGTTAACGAGAAAAACATTATACTTAAGCTATATCAGCCGTAAAAATATTTGGCTCAACGAAGCCCAATCCCGAATTTAGAATCCCACGCACTCGTGAAAACGGTTTTTCATTTTACTCTGCAGTGTCAGAATAATATGAAACTATATTCTTTATATCTCTGCTCAAAGTGCAATATATACAAATGGTTTACATTGACATTTAATTTATTGCATGCATGCATGCATGAAGGTTCAAGTAACGTAGTCTTATATATAAATATACAATGTGTATATAGCTCTATAAAAAGAGTTGTTTGGAAATGAAGTAATAATACGTCCATGCTTTATAGAATAATTTATGCAATATCATATTGACTATAAGTATATATAACCGTTTATGTACACTTACACATAAATGGGATTCCATTTATCTATGTGGCCACCTCCGCGGACATGATGGAACAACCCTCTCGACCATTTTCGCAACAACTTTTGTGTTTCCCCAGTATCTTTGTTGCATGATTCGTCTGGATTTTCTTGCTCAATGTCCTGACATTCCTTTAGTATGTCTGGATATGTATCCAACAAAGTGGACGTTCCTTTAAAAAATATATACAATTTTCAAGTTTGGGAACACACTTTAAACATATTATGAATTTGAAATGTAAAGCTTATACAAAGTAAACGTTCCTATAATACACAAAAATCTGTAGGTAAAGGCCGCACTTTTAAAACTCTAGAATAACTTTCTCCATATAGATGTTTACAGATTTTAGCAGTATAGTGGATTTCCATTCGTATTTTGAAAACATGCGTTCTCTTGCCGGCCACATAATATTGGGGGTGCAAAATTGGAAGGGAACCATTGTATCCCTGTAACTTTTTCGTTGAGTATAGAAATCGCCAAATCGGTAGTTCCCCACATGGCCATGAAACTTTACAGTAATGCCAAATATCATCTAAAGCCCTGAGCAAACTAGGAAACATTGTTGCGGAAATATTGCTTCCTGCCAATGTTTCGCCATGCTTCCAAGAGTGGGCAAACACTAGGAAACATTAGTGAGAAACATGGGAAAACATCAAATGTTTCTTAAGTTGCTAGGAAACATTTTTGCTTCACGGGAAGCAAATTTTGTTTCCGCAACAATTCTTTCCATACGTATATACATGGGTGGGCAAACATGGAAACATTTGAGGAAACATCGCGAATCACAAATCAAGAACCAAAAAAGTGGTACGGGTGCCAATTTTATCCGTGCCGTACCAAAATTGAGCGTAGTGTAAACGGGGCTTAATTTAACCAGTAAATATTGTGAATTCAGCATTATTTGATGTATACCTTGAGAATCTGCAACATTTGAAGGTGTTTGATCCCCGTCCGGCAGATTTGACGCAGCGTTGTTGATTTGCCTGGCATCACTTAAATTAATGGTTGATGAATCGTATACTAAAAGTTATACAAAACACGTACACAACATTTAGCGATAGACGACGCAAATATAGTTATATATTATCAATATACTGTCGATTTAGCCGTAAGACAACGTTGACAAATACGTTTTGAGCGATAAGTCGTTGTCATAGAATGATGTCTTTTAACGCGTTAACCAAGTACGAATATACGTAATGCGATTTTAAATACACATATCTAAAACATACCATCTATTCACTATTGTTTTGTGTTTTATTAAAACATACCATCAATGCGTTTTTCCACTTTACAATAATTGTGTACAAATTCTCTTAGATTGGTAGGAATGCCGTGTTTAGAAGCTAGCACACTGTGTGTGGAACAGAACGCCAACTGTTGGCTCTCAGGCTCGTTCGTGCATACATTCGGGTAGTTGACCAAAGGCAGATCGCTGATTCTTGCTTTCACTGGGTACATACAATGAGGGTGGCGAAGTTTCCATATTCCATCCATGGCTACGAAGTTCTTACAACCTGTATCGTAAGGTAAATCACATTTTTAATTATATTACTTTATCCTGAAATATTAACGCTGTGTATCCCGTAAGGTGTTTAACGCGTTTTGTATAACAAAAGCCACTCACATATTATTAATATTGCAAATTTTAATTGACTGATGGAACTTAACGAAAAATGTTACTGCACATCAATGTCAGTATAAGGGCTTATATTGCCCGCTGTTTATATATACCTTCGTGTTTTCTGTCATATATAATCTGGGACGCACTGCATGTTGGTGCATATCAATAAGTCATGTGGTAATTAGAAAAATAATGAGTTACAATCTTACCCTTTTCTTTGCAACGGGTAGAGCAGTCACTTTCCGAGTGTTGGTATATCTCGTGTCGCCTCATACCATCAACGTGATCCATAAATGAATCTTTCATTTCATCCACTGTTCCTTTAAAAACCCACGTCATTCCCCTTTCTCTTATTTCTTGTTCCATTTCGTGCCAGTAAAACGTATCTGCCACTATCCTCCGGTCTAACCGACTTACTGCAAAAGAGTATGTGGACGAAAATCTTCAAAGTTGATGCAAGTTATGTTACAGCAAAATATACCGATATATAGAAACCCTAACCTATTCATTTAATTTTTGAAATAATGCATGATCACACTCAGTGGAGGGGCCATTAAGGAAAAGGTGGAAACGTAGCAAGCTGCACTCAACCTCGTTCACAGGGCTTTTCCTGAAACGAGATTGACCCGCACTAATAGAACTGGCATTCATAGCGATAACATATCATTTGTAATATTCACAAGGAGTCCATGACAAACATACAAAAATCCAATCCCTATTTTTGTCAACTTTCTGAGAGTGATTTAACGAATTAATTTCTTTAATAAAATCGCTTAGGTGATTATCGCGTAAAAATCACCTCAACGGCAACCAATCAGCGTGGAGAATTTTCAATAATCACCAATTATACTAAATACCTATAGTGCAAACCTTACCAGCTAACTCTCTTAGGAAGGTTTGTTCGAATAACGAACCGCCATGAATTTTGGTGGTGTGTGTAGAGACTGCTTCGTTGTAACTTTCTGCAAAGCCAACAAAAGAAACCCACGCATGATTTCTAAAAACGGTAAAAAAGATCTAGTTTAAATCGGCAAGATAAGTTAAAAACTCTAATTATCTCTTTGTTTTCAAAATATTTGAATTTGTTGGATATGTGAATAAAATATTTGTCATTGGCAAGGGATTTTTGTCAGCCAGAAATGATTGTATTTTCTGATATTTAATGCAAAGGTATACATGTGAGCTTTTGCACTAATGTGACGAAGAACAGTTTACAACATAACTCGACAATAGAGGCCTACTCTCAACGGTAGAGGGAACAATATTTAGGGAAATATATAGAGGATATTACTCGGCGGCGCGAAGATATGACTTCTTATTTTCGAGTGGTGAAAACAATATTTTACGAACGAGCGCAGCGAGTGAGTAAAATATTGTTTTTAACACGAGAAGATAAAAATCATATATTCAAGCCACCGTATAATGTTCTGTTTATTATATAGTCCCAAGCAAAAAATTGTATAAATACTAAAAGTCACGTGATCGATATCTTCACTAGTGAAGATATGGAAAATATGTCACTGTGTATTTATCAGTATCTCACTCTCTACTATATAATAAACAGCAATAAAATAAAATTATTTTAATGTATAAGTGCACAGATTAAAATTTTGTTTTAACTAATGATTAAAATTAATGTTTCGGCTAGACATGTAAACAAAGACATAAAGTCATAGTTATTTTTATATACGCCAAATTTAGGATAATCAATCACCATCGTTTTTAGGCACTCCTTTGAATCACGAGGGAAATAAAACATTACACGATTCTAACAAGTTGAATGTCAAAATGTTAGAAATCAATTCATATCATGTGCATCAGTGCATGCATGCACTTGTTTTTTTGCGCACAGTATGCAAATTACTTACGCAAGGAATATTTGAAAACGACAAAGTTGGCGGTCGACGAATGTGCAATTTGTTGATTGAATGTACGGTCGTTCTACGTCATAAAATTGATAGCCGTCGTTCGTGTTGCCAAACCGAGAATAATTGTAATTAATATTGCATGTTTCGCACCTCCAGCAGATGTTTAGAGCTTTCATTGACCCGTCAAGCTTATAAACTGTTACCTCGCTAGGTTTGTTGTGACAAAGCAAGCGAGTATTGCATTTTATGCAGTTTTCAACGGGAGGTGATAGGAACAGAAACTGTTCTGCAGGTGCGGTTATATTCCCCTGTGCAAATCCTCTTACAATCAAGTTCTGTTCTTCTGTCGAGTAATTGAGCCCCAATCCTGTAAAAATAACGTCCAGTAATTTTGTTCTGTCCGATGTCGATAGAATGGGAAGAACACTTTTCAAAGCCAGCTGTAACTGCGCTGTTACGTGGAGACCATGTTTTACACACAACACGGATTCGATCTGACATGGGTCAACATACTGCATAGACACTTCTTTTATAGCAGTTAACTGGGATGTCAACTCTAATCTTTTTCTCTTTTTAGTTTGCACTTTGGCGAGATGAGCAAGGAAAGATTTGGAGGAGGACGCCATTTCTAACTACCTGTCACTTAATATTCTCCTCAGAGAATCATCCCGTACAAACGTCACGCCTATAAACACGTGCGGATATGCAGGCAAGGTGCCAAGGGCAAGGTTATGATTTTTCGTTCTGACCAATGGTAATCTTGTAGCAACACATTCCGGGATGACCAGTGACCACAGAGTGTGTTTGTTTGGAAGGGGTGGGGGGTAGAAACAATATTCCAGTTTCCCGACCGTAATCTTTTTATCTGAAATTTGCAAAGAGTTTGGAGCAATTTTTTGTACCCAGTTCGTGGCGTTTGTATTGTCTACTGTATATATAGAAAGCACAGCCTGTTTGTTTCAAAGTTGATGTTTGTGTCATCTGTGCTGCCGTATTTGATATCGAAATCACTATCATGTACGAGCATTTATGGGGGAAAAAATAACATAAACGAAAAACGGGCCTACCCTACTGTAAATTTTACCCTACCTAACAGTAAAACTAGCTCATCATCTCATCCCAAAATTAATACTATGTCTATGTCCCACATAATAATGAAATTATTACGTAATTGTGAAAAAGCTTTCAAAAATTAAGACAATGTTAATTAAAACTGAAATTTAAACCTATCCCAACCCTGACACTAACACTAATCTGATCTTAATCCGTCCCTATAATGTTAATTTGACCGATTTTTTAAAAAAAAACCCTTAGTTTTGGGAATACATGTTGACTGGCTATAGAGTGTAAATGTTTTTAAATTTCCAAATAGTAAAATAGTAAACTTCAAGCCCACAACATTTGAACCACATTAAACTATATTAATTAAATACAGGCTGACACAAATTCATCAGTTTAATGTACAAGTAATTAATTTGTTTAAATACACAAATAATTCTTATTAATCTACAATGCTTCTAGCCACTCTACTAACATCTGTAGGGTTTGGTTTAGGATATGACGGGGAAAATGTGCTCTGCCTAACTCTAACACATTGTACAGATGCCTGCTAAGGAAACTACAGGCAGGATTGGATGATAATCAGGGTTATATATATATGGCATGTTTACATTCAAGTATAATATTTATTGCATTCTGTAATGCGAAAGTGGTTTTACCTAAGTGGGATCCCATCTCAACTGGGATGTTTTCCACATCAGAGAGCTCTATCCTACTTAGTGGGAAATATTATCCTTACAGCATTATCTGATCACTGTTACAGTTGGTGATCATTACATTTAGAAATTAATATCCTGAAATCTGCTGTATTGGTGTAATGTACTCAGGTGAATAAGATGTTTGTGTGATGTTACTTGAGTGTATATCCACACCAGGAAGGCTTGAAAAATATGCCTGGCCACGGCGGGATTCGAACCTACGACCTTTGGAATACTAGCCCAATGCTCTTCCAAATGAGCTACGCAGTCAGGACGGTTCGAGTAAGCGATATTTCGGAACTGAGTCTAGTTCCTTCCTGGTATTTCTGAAAATTGTATCGGGTACAAACATTCATAAACATAGGAATGATAAATGTCCTGTCCTGGCAAGCATCCCATCCCTGCAGAATGGGAACATTGCTGAAAATAACCATCCCATAATGTAAACTCTGTGTGTTTACATGATCCTGCTTCACTCTGTCTGTCTATAGGTCTGATCCCAACATATTGAAATACATGATCTGAGAAATTCCCAGATAAACACTTTGTCACAACAGCCTGGCAAAACCTGCCTTGTGACTTTTCTGGAAACAATGTGATGTCAAACAATATGGCTTCATCACAGATCGACACAGCAATGTAAAGTCAATCGAGTTCGTGAAACAGGCCCTAATGCCAGACACTTGTGAAAAAGGTGTTAGCCATACACCATACCAACAGATTTTCCTTGCCAAGAACAACTTATTGCCCAATAATAGTAATATTACCAACAAGCTTTTGTTTGTAGGGATGCAACTACTGTGCCTGAAACATAAGGAGTATTTTGATGTTTCGAGTGAAGGCCCTTTGGCTAGTAACTCCAGACAAAGGGCCTTCCCTTTAAACTCTCCTGATATTTTTCAGGTAGTTGCATCGATCGCTACCAACAAAAGCTTGTTAATTGGCACTATATCTACACGGCTACACCGACATGCATTTCAAGGTCATTGCCCAATAATAGCTGCCATGTATAGGAAAAATATGACATAGGGATGGAGCTTGTGCTCAGTGCATTTTTTAAGGATTCTTCAGTGGTGGGGCAAAACTGCCAAAGGGACCATTTTCCTTGCCCTCCCCCCAGGATAGTATGAGATTGTTGAAAGTGTGAGCCGAGTATCGCAGACATGAGTTAGCTAGGGGGGTCTGGGGCATGCCCCCCAGGAAATTTTTAAAATTAGGGGCTCTCAAATAGCATTTCCTGCATTCTGAGAACACATTAAAAAAATCTCAACTTCTCTAAACAAAGTTTCAAAGGTGAAATTTGTAATAAATTGCATGCTAAACATTCAAACACAACATAAGTTGTGAGCATGCTCACCAACAAATTTTGTTTTTTAAACTTCTTGTTTCAATGTTAAACTCATTTACTCAATACAGGTCCTAGGGCTTTGGGGCAATAGGCAATATTTTTTTCTTCAGTGGTGGGGCAGAGGAAGGGGCCCAGTGGGGAAAATGCCCCACCAGTCCATGGTATTAAAAAATGAACTTAAAATATACAATATCAGAGTATCTATGTATTATTATTGTTTGCATCATAAGTTCAACAAAAATCACCAAATGAAATAAAAACCTAAATAAACTGTTTGTAAATAAAGCGAGGGCTCCTTTGTGCACATGCACAGATCAGACTGTACCGCATCTTTAATTGTGTTAATAAAGTCCCAATCTTGTGCTTGTTTTGATTGCAAAATACATCCAACACACATGTCCATCCATATCAATTTGGTCAGTTGTTTTGCATTATATATTTGCCATAGTCATTGTGGTTAAAAGCATATCTGTCATCATAATGAATTTTTGTCATCCATATAGTGTTGTCCCAGATCAAATAATAATTGGTACATAACTCCATGCCCACAAATATCTCCAGTTCTAATCAATTTAATACCATACACAAATCTAAAAAAAATAAACATTTTAGGGCTTCCACAGATATTAAGTGAGAGTGGTTTGTTGTCAATGACAATTTGTTATTTAATTGTCGACTATTAATTTTTATCATTTATAGATGAGGGGGTTCAGCAATAATTACACAATGTGATGAAATATCATCACTGAGGGTTGAGAAATTTTCATCTTAACAAATTTTCATCATACAAATTTTCATCGACTGGGCTATTAAAAATTCGAATTTAGACCAAAAAATCTAAATTTTGACGATTCTTGAGCTTTTTTATAGCTTCCTAGCTATCAGCTATAGCTCCGTTTCACCGTGGCTTCGCTAACGCGAATAAAACTGTATGAAACTAAATAAACTGTATAATTGTAGAGTTAGTAGAAAAGTATTTTTCAGGTAGTTGTATTAAAAATATCTCTCGAAACAGGTTTATAATTTTAATTACACTTACAGTAATACAATTTATATTAGAAAAGCTTATTAAAAGCATTTGAAATACAGTCAATACCTTCTTCGTGTTCATTTAAATCTTGGTAGATATATTCTTTCTTACAGTAAAAGGTTTCCATATTTTAATATATTTTTAAATTTTAACTACTAGTCTACCACAATTCTACTGAGCATATGTACTGAGTCATACAGTATTAAAGCTAAGTAAATCGAGTTTCTGTCAACTTCCGTTCAGCGACTTCCGTTGGGCTTGTTTGCCCAACAAAACTCCCAACAAGAATACGCCACCCCTAAAACGCGACTCATATGCAAACCTCTCTTAAAGACCATGTCATGTCCGATCTGTGCATCAGTTCTGCTCATACCAAAGGGGGACCTGCAGATATAAACATTGCCTAACTTTTGTATCTTTCAAACTTTTTTGAATTGAAATGTACTCAATCATTTACAATAGCGAACCAGAAAAGTGTTAGATATTCAGTTAGTATGTTTTATTCTACAAATATACCAGTTCAAAATGTAACCAAAGGATTTGTTACATTACGGACTTGACATGGTCTTTAACAGAACGCACATACAGTATTGACAAGGCAGTCAGGGTCTCTAATGTACCAGTAAAATGAAAGATAAGTTCTTTGAAGGTTTCAGGTTTTGCATGGCAAAATTAAAATACAATAAAAATTTTGTTTAAATTTGTAGATAACACCACATAAAAATTATTTGTGCGTACTTTCAGTCCTTGTGCCCGGATCTTCATATTATCTGCACTGATGATGCACTGATCAATGAAGATCCGGGCACACAGATCAAACACTATGAACAAATAATTTTTACATGGTATTATCTACAAAACAAAGTTACATGATGCAAGATGTTAAAATGGAAGATGTAAGCTCCTTTAGACACATACCAGGTCTACCAGTATCAAATTTCCTAGCATTTGCCATTACAGTTGTTTTGTTCTCATAATTTATGTATTTATTTATTTAGCTTTGCCAACTAGGGCAGGGTCACCACAACAGCATATGCCAATTACTGTGGGCCCCTTTTTTTTACCTATAAACCCACCCTGTCAACTTTCCCTGTGGGAGGAAACCGAAGTACCCGGGGAAAACCCACGGCTTTCGGCAGAGCGTTGACTTTTACTCTTTTCACATGGGGACTGGGTTCGAGTCGCATTGAGAAGGTACTTAGTGAGACTCGAACATGCAGCCTCAGAGGTGAAAGGCAAGTGCGCTAACCACTTGGCCACCGAAGCCCCATGTAATTGCTTGGTAAAGCCTACTATTTGTTTATTTTTAAAATTTGTGTATTTGGAGGTGCACCATCCGTCTTTCATGTATTCTTTGGAAGAGATCATTCATATAAGTGCCCTCTGGATTTCTCAGATTTCCCTGTAAAATATAAGTATGGACCAGTCCGCTCCAGCGCTCCTGATCATTTGTTTGCATTGTGTTATAGGTACCTAATACTATAAGGTTGG